ACCCAATATACTTTGTTGTATATTTAAATACATACTTAAATATATAAAGTTTAGAAAATAGTTTATATCTCTATATTTTTAATAAAATATATAACATCAGTGTTTATGAACGTATCTTTGTGAATAAATAATTCATAAGATATTTGCAATCAGTGTTTAACTTTTGTCTCATTTAATTTGTACGTAGAATTCTATGTCTGTTAATATGGGTCCCAGTAGTACAGCCGGGTTCATTCTCGATGCACAATCAAGAATTCCTGGTTCAAATTCTGGGCGGGATAGAAATGGTTAGGCGCATTTCCTTTCACCTAATGCCTCTGTTCACCTAGCATTGAGTGGGTAATGAGGAGTTAGTCAGCTTGTTGTAGGGTTACATCCAGGGCGAGGTCATTAATTTGGCCCTTGGTGAGGGAGACCTCGGTATATGTCTACTGTTTATGAATACACTCTGGCTTGCTGTCTGCCAACACAATGAATTATTACTACTATCATTATTATATTAATAGCTGACTGAATATAATAATAATAATCTATCTATATAAGGGGGCTTATCAAACGCAAAAATTCGGAAAAAATCGAATCTTTTTGAAAAATTTATAAAAATACTACAACGTTCTGGCAACACTTTGGCGCAAACCCGAGAATGTTATGATATAAATTAAAGTATTTATGGTACATTTCCATGCGTAATTGTGCAGAATCCGGTGCCCCGCGGCTGTGGCGCGCCAAGAGTATTGCGTCGTACGTTCTAAACGTCAATTTTTTCGTAATAACGTCGGAAATAACTCTGTATATATGACAACAAATATACACTCATTGGCAACCGTCTCCTAGTGGGGGTGAGTGAGGCAGCAAGCTACCAGTCACATGGTGTGTCCTGTTGAGAGTGGAGGGTGTCGACGCGCGCTCCATTTTTGCTCCTGGAATCTCGCTTTTGTAGCTTCTAGCGCACAATGACCTATAAACGGAAGGTTCTGAAGGCAAGAGTAGCCAATTTGACACGCGGTCGCCGTCTTTGGCTGGAAAGAAGAGACGCTGTTGAACAAGGGAGGTTATTATCAAGTGAAGATAGAGGCGGCCTCCCCGCCTCAGCTGTGAGAGGCATGACGCAGCCGCCACACCCCTCCTCACACATCCTCCTCAACCCCTCGATGTGTATGGACTGGCCACGACAGTGCCATCTACATCTGGTGTGGCAGTGCCATCTACATCTACTGCTGTGGCAGTGCCGTCTACATCTGGTGTGGCAGTGCCATCTACATCTGGTGTGGCAGTGCCACCTTGAGGACCCACAATTCGGACCAATTTCAATAGGTTAGTATGTTTTAGTGTTATAATTTGGTATTTGGTAATAATTGTAATATGTATGTGCAGGATATATATATGTATATATATATTTTTTTTTTCCATTTTTTTTTTCGTTTGTTATCAGGGGATGTGCATGGAACTTGCACACCTTGCTCAATGGATGCCTATCTGCAAGGGTGCCAATTATGAACGAAATCGGTCGATGACAAACTCGGCTACAGGTGGCCGAACTTTGATCTTATTTTACTCAGGTAAGTAATTTACAACTTCAAGGTGTTTCTCAGCTTTCATTTATTAATCAATTTACATGCAAATTACACCTTATATGTAGAGTTTGTGCTTCTACAAACCTGTTGAGACATTTTAGTCCAAAGTCCATTTGTTGATTTTATAAAAATTTATAAACATCATATATTGCATATTTTTGGAAGGGTAACTTTGAATAATTATATTATTGCACTAAACACATTTTTGATAAAACTGATCACTACAATCCTTTATTATGTGCTAAATTTAATATCTGAGTGTTATAGAAATGATTTTAGTTGACACATGTGTTCCCTGAAACTATTTGAAAATGTTGAAAATTCGTTGCATAATACGTTGTGTATTTTTTTCTCCTTTTCTGTTTAGGGTGTGATGCTGAAACTTGGACCAGTTGCAGCCCTTTCTATAACCATTTCATAAATAAATTTATAAACAAATTGATCAATTTTTACTTAACCCTTAATAAGCCCCCATATAAATAAAAATGGAAATGTTCGTTTGTTCAAAATCGCTAATCTACGAAAGTTATTCACCGATTGCTTTGAAATTTTCACACAACGTTGCATTCGCATCCGAGCAGGTTTCTATATACATACTATATACATGTCATGTCTGTGAAGGTAAAAAACATGTTTTTTCTGAAAAACTGTGTTTTTCATGTGAGTGAAAACTTCGAAACCTCTTTACCGATTGCTTTGAAATTTTGACACAACGTTGCATTCGAATTGGCGCGTCTTTTTATATATCTTCTATATACATGCCTCACCTGGGACAGGAAAAAACATGCTTTTTTTGAAAAACAGCGCGATCTGTTGGACGTAAGTGCAACACACGCTGTAATCTCTGAAAGTTCTTCAAGAATTGCTTTGAAATTTTCACACAACGTTGCATTCGAATAGGCGCGTCTTTTATATATACCTACTATATAGATGCCACCCCTGTGACAGGTAAAAACATTCGTTTTTATAAAACAACACCATGTTGCACATAATGGCAACATGCAAGCTATACTAAATATGTCACGAATTCCATTTCAATATTTCCACGTGCATTGATAAATTTAATTTTCATAGATTTCGATTTATTTTATTTTTTAGTGAGTTATTTTGTGAGACATCGTGTTGGAAATGTGATGTGTTGTTTACCATACCGTTCATTTTGTAAGTATAAGTATAGATGCCACACCCGTGACAGGTAAAACTATGCATTTTCTTAAAAAAACAGAATCATCCGTTGCAAGTAAGAGCAACACACATGCTATACTAGATATGTTACAATAACATTTCAATGCTTTTTATTGCATTAATAAATTGAATTTTCATAGATATTGATTTATTTTCATTTTGATTTAATTAGTTTGTGTGAATTGCATTGGAATTGAGCTGTGTTTTTTTCCAGACGTTCATTTTGTGAGTATAGTTTATTATTAAAAATTTCATATTTTCATTTCATTTTTAATTGTTTTTCTTCAGAGATGGGAACTTCAGATCACTTGATGTTCCCAATTTTCTGATGGGAACCTCAGACCATTGGGAAAGGCATCGGACGAGGGAGTGGGGAATGACGAGGGGATGGAAGTGAGACATAGTTGGAACTGGGGAGGGGGGGATGAGGGAACAGGGAAGGGGGAAATGGTGGTGAAGGACGAGGGGACAGGGAAGTTTGGGATGGTGGGGACGAGGAGATGGGGGAATGGAGAATGGTGGGGAGGACAAAGAGACAGGGGAGTGGGGCATGATGGGAAGGAAGCAGGGAAAGTGGAGTGTGGAATGGTGGAGGAGGACGAGGGGATGGTGGAGTATGGAATGGTTTTGAAGCCGAAGAGACGGGTGAGGAGGGAATTGTAGGGAGGACTAGGGGAGAGGGAAGGTGGCTGTGTCTCAGCAACGCACATGCGTTGCTGAGTTACAGCATCGCGTGGCCGGGTACTGCTAGTCTATATAAATAAATATGTAAATGTTCGTTTGTTCAAAATCTGTAATCTCCGAAAGTTCTTCACCGATTGCTTTGAAATTTTCACGCAATGTTCCATTCGCACCCGAGCGGGTTTTTATATACTTATTATATAGATGTAATGTAATAGCCACACACACACAAACTATACTATATACGTCATGATTCTATTTCAATGTTTCCGATTGCATTGATTAATTAAATTGTCATATATTTCCATTTATTTTCATTTCGATTTAACTATTTGATGTGACATTGTGTTAGAATTGAGCTTCGCTGTTTACCATACCGTTCATTTCGTAAGTATAAGAATAGATGCCACACCTGTGACCGGTGAAAACATTCTTATTTTAAGCAAACAGCACCATCTGTTGCACGTAATAGCAACACATGCAATGCTAAATAAGTTTTGATTCAATATCAATGTTTTCGATTGCATTGATAAATTTAATTTTCATAGATATCAATTTATTTTCATTTTGATTTAATTATTTTGTGTGACATTGCATTAGAATTGAGGTGTGTTGTTTACTATACCGTTAATTTCGGCAGCATAAGAATAAAGGCCACATCTATGACAGATAAAAAAAAAAATTTGTTTGAAACAGCGCAATCTGTTGCATATAGGAGACACACACACGCTATACTAACGATGTTACAATTCCATTTCAATATTTCCAATTGCACTGACCAATAAAATTTTCATAGATTTCGATTATTTTCATTTTGATTTAATTATTTTGTGTGACATTGCATTGGAATTGAACTGTGTTGTTTACCATACCGTTCATTTTGTGAGTATAGTCTATTTTTGCATTTTTGCATTGTTTTTCATTTTGTTTTTTAAATGTTTTATCTTGTTTTTCAGTGATGGGAACATCAGATCATTTGGGAATGCATCGAACGAGGGGATGTGGGAGGGGGTAATGTTAGGGAGGCCGAGGGGAGAGGGGAAGGGAGAATGGTAGGGAAGATGAGGTGACGGGAGTGGGGGATGTTGGAGAGATCGAGGGTACAGGGGAGTTTGGGATGGTGGGGACTAGGGGCCAGGGGAATGGAAAATGGTGGGAGGATAGAGGGACAAGGAAGTAGGGGGATAGTAGGGAGGACGAGTGGACAGGGGAGTGGGGAAAGGTTTGCACTCAGCATTGTCCAGAGTAAGGGATGAGATTCAGTGATCGTTCATATGTGGATGACTGCACTAATTGTGATGTTGACAATTAGCAAGGCTTGTAAGCTGTTTCTTGTGTGTGTTGCTGAGTTATACTTAATGTGAGCGCTTGGATGTCAATACTGCTGCTTATTAAATATAATAGGTCCAGTTATGTGAATGTTTGCTCCGATGGATGACAGCACGACTGCTGATATTGGGAGACATGTCACGGTGTTGAACTAATCATATTTATTTTTTTGTATTCAAGAAGGTAGATTGGGTTTATGAGAGTACATAGCATTGATGTTTTACATTGCAGTAGAGCCACAAGAACGCCAAGTATTTCGAGCAAAAGCAAAAATAGATTTGAGAATATCGAATATGGATATGATATAGACAAAATTATGTGGAGGATAATCGTTCATACAATGATTATTATAAATTACCGAGAACTATCAAGGTTTGTCATAGATAAATTACTTTACTCTGACAAGATGGAATTACAAAAGATGTTTAAATCCTAGGAAATTGAATATTTAAAGCTCGATAACCAAACATTGGAAAAGGAACATGAGCCTACCAATTTCAAAGGCCAATATTGAATTTTTTATGACAAGAGATTGCAAACCGAACATTTATCTATGATCCAAGAGAGTGTAAAGTTTAAATATCAGCATATATTGGAGAAATTGTACCTAAAATAATCATTTGTTGCATTAATTCCTAATGGAATTTCTATCAATCAGTACTGTCCTAACTAAAATCTAAGTTAGTACGAAATCTCAACTATTAACGGTCGTCACTATAGGTACTATCTAAACAGGAAGATGGGGTTGGTGTGTGTGTTTGAGTAATCATCTATTTGTACTCACCCATTTTTCCCTACAGGATCGAGCATCGACTCTTGGATCCTTCATTTCTAGTTGCTGGTGTTTTGTAGCAATGTCTCCTGTCTAATTTCCCTATTTATATGGTTTTAAAATTATGAATAGACTTTGCTTCCACAACCTGCTCATTAAGTTCATTCCATTTTATAACTTCTCTCACACTACAATAAAACTTCGTAAGATATCTGTGACTCATCTGAATTTCCAGCTTCCACCCATGTCACCTTGTTCTGTGGGTATTCAGTGTGAACATTTCATCTATTTCCATTCTGTATATCCCCCTAAGAATTTCACATGTTTCTGTCAAATGCCCCTCTGCCTCCTTTTTTTTTTAGCTGCATCTGGTTCAGTTCCTTTAGTTGCTATTCATATTCCATCCCTCGTAACTCTGGGACGAGCCCCGTCTTAGAAAAGTGTGTACTCACGTAGTTGTACTCACCTAGTTGTGTTTGCGGGGGATGAGCTTGGGCTCTTTGGGCCTGCCTTACAACTGTCAATCAACTGGTGTACAGATTCCTGTGCCTACTGGGCTCTATCATATTTACATTTAAAACTGTGTATGGAGTCAGCCTCCACCACGTCACTGCCTAATGTGTTCCATCTGTCAACTACTCTGACGCTGAAAAAGTTCTTTCTAATGTCCCTGAGGCTCATTTTGGTACTAAGTTTCCACCTGTGTCCCCTTGTTCGCGTACCACCAGTGTTGAATAGTTTATCAATGTCTACCCTGTCAATTCCCCTGAGGATTTTGTAGGCAGTGATCATGTCTCCCCTCACTCTTCTGTCTTCTAGTGTCGTAAGGTGCATTACCCGCAGCCTTTCCTCGTAACTCATGCCTCTTAGTTCTGGGACTAGTCTAATGACATACCTCTGAACATTTTCCAGCTTCGTCTTGTGCTTGACAAGGTGCGGGCTCCATGCTGGGGCCGCATACTCCAGGATTGGTCATACGTATGTGGTGTACAAGATTCTAAATGATTCCTTACACAGGTTCCTGAAGGCTGTTCTGATGTTAGTCAACCTCGCATATGCCACAGATGTAATTCTTTTGATGTGGGCTTAAGGAGACAGGTTTAGTGTAATATAAATTCCTAGATCTTTCTCCCTTTCCTTTTCATTAAGTACTTCATCTCCTATTCTGTATCTTGTGTCTGGCCTCCTGTTTCCACTGCCTCGTTTCATTACTTTGCATTTATTTGGGTTAAACTTTAGCAGCCATTTGTTGGACCATTCACTCAGTCTGTTTATGTTGTCCTGTAGCGTCTTACTATCATCCTCTGTTTCAATCCTTCTCATAATTTTTGCATCACCAGCTAACATTGAGAGAAACGATTCTATACCCTCTGGGAGATCATTTGCATATATCAGAAACAGTATTGTTCCAAGGACTGACCCCTGCGGGACTCCACTTGTGACGTCACGCCAATCCGAGACCTCACCCCTCACAGTGACTAGTTGTCTTCTGTTACTTACGTACTCCCTTATCCAATGAAGTACCTCCCCTTTCACTCCTACCTGCATCTCCAGCTTTTTCATTAACCTCTTGTGTGGTACTGTATCAAAGGCTTTTTGACAATCCAAAAATAGGGAGTCTGCCCACCCCTCTCTTTCTTGCCTGATTTTTGTTGCCTGGTCGTATAATTCAACTAGCCCTGTGAGGCAGGACTTGCCATCTCTGAACCCATGTTGATGCTGTGTTACAAAGTTCTTTCGCTCCAGATGTTCCACTAGCTTGCCTCGCACACTCTTCTCCATCAGCTTGCATGGTATGCAGGTTAGGGACACTGGCCTGTAGTTCAGTGCCTCCTGCCTATCCCCTTTCTTGTATATTGGAACTACATTAGCTGCCTTCCAAATTTCTGGCAGTTCCCCTATTGCCAGTGATTTGTTATACACTATGGATAGTGGCAGGCACAGTGCTTCTGCTCCTTCCCTTAGTATCCAAGGGGAGATTCCATCTGGGCCTATAGCCTTTGTCACATCCAACTATAGTAAACACTTCCTTACTTCCCCACTGGTAATCTCAAACTCTTCTAGTGGTTCCTGGTTAACAATTCCCTCTCTTTTATCTGGAATTTCTCCTTGCTCTAAGGTGAAGACCTCCTGGAATTTCTTATTCAGTTCGTCACTGTTACGGCCCTCTCGGGTCGCAACCGGGTTTTTACTCTGATGTTGTTAGAGGAAGGGTATCCGGCCCCAAGCCAGTAGTGGCTTTCAAGGGATGTGATCCGTAACGCAAGTAAATTAAAGGGGAAGGGAAATAAAGTCAAAACTTAATATAATATAATTATCACCGTCACCAATAAATAAGATATAAACGATTACACGGGGGGGGGGGGGGGTATAAACACTATAATACACGATGTAGTCTTCCTCTGAAGACCCTGGACGTTCACGGTGCCAAGCTCTTGGTGCTCTCGTGGCCTCACGATGAATCCTTCGAGAATCTTGAGTCTACCCCGGCCACAGGCCAGCCAAAACACAGTTCCACTGGGGGCACCGTCGTGGAGGCCGTCAACCACAAGTCCAGCAGATAGCTGGCAGGTTCCAAAATCAGCGACGCTGGTCAGGCCACTCCACGAGCGATACTAGAGTCGCGCCCTAGTCAGGAGCCTCGTGTGATACCACAGATCACTCTCCTTTCCACAACACCCCAGTGGTTAAGCGTCTCCACCAGTCAGTCCCGGGTATGACAATCCTTCAACTGCCGCTTCACAGGCAGGGTAACACCACAGTGTTCATCCGGGGCGACTCACAGCTGCTGCAGTAAACACTTGGTGACGAGACGGCTGCCTTGGGTAGACTGATCCAACTTCCATTACAGCAGTCCCAGGTCGGCTCTGTAATCAGACACGTCATCAGTAACAGGGACACACAAAAGCACCTCACTTACAGGCTCAGACCCAAACGCCCACCTATCCACTCCATAGATGGCGTTGTTGTCTGAGCACCACCTCACCAGAGGTCAGTAGCGGCTGTGTTGTGAGCTGAACAGGACTGGAAACTGGCCCTCGTGGCCAGTACACCTCGTCCTCACCAGGTGTCGTTGTCCATTTGGAGGGGGTTTCGGGAGCTGACCCACAGATCGCGCGGTCGTCACTGCTCCGTGCTCGGACGTTGGGCTCGGGTCCGTAACAGTCACACACTTCCTTGTCGTTTGTAGTGAATCCTACTGCCCCTATCCTTATATGCATTACCTATTCCTTTACTGTTGTTTTTCTCCTGATGTGGCTGTGCAGCAATTTAGGTTGAGTCTTTACCTTGCTTGCGATGTCATTTTCGTATTGTTTTTCTGCCTCTCTTCTCATCCTGACATATTCATTCCTGGCACTCTGATATCTTTCTCTGCTCTGAAGTGTCCTGTTATTCCTATAGTTTCTCCATGCCCTTTTACTTTGCTGCTTAGCTAGCCTGCATCTCTGATTAAACCATGGGTTTCTCATCTTCATTTTATTGGTTTCCTTTTGGACTGGGACAGACTTGTTTGTTGCTTCCTTGCACTTGTACGTGATGAAGTCCATGATGCCTTCGGTCGTCTTTCCCCTGAGCTCTGTTTCCCATGGTATATCTGTTAGGAATTTTCTTAACTCCTCATAGTTTCCCTTTCGGAATGCCAGTTTTTTGTTTTCAGTACCCCTCCTCGAGTTCAATAACCCTTCCTCAACCAGATACTCAAACGTCAGTACACTGTGGTCGCTCATTCCTACTGGGGCACCATAGCCGATTTCCCTTATGTCGGAATCGTTCAAAGTGAAGACAAGGTCGAGTCTCGCTGGTTCATCGTTTCCTCTCACACAACTGTGTGTGTGTGTGTGTGTACTCACCTATTTGTGTTTGCAGGATCGAGCATTGACTCTTGGATCCCGCCTTTCCAGCCATCGGTTGTTTACAGCAATGACTCCTTTCCCATTTCACTATCATACATAATTTTAAAAGTATGAATAGAGTTTGCTTCCACAACCTGTTCCCCAAGTGCATTCCATTTTTCCACTACTCTCACACTAAAAGAAACTTTCCTAACATCTCTGTGACTCATCTGAGTTTCCAGTTTCCACCCATGTCCCCTCGTTCTGTTATTATTATTACGTGTGAACATTTCATCTATTTCCACTTTGTCAGTTTTCCTGAGTATTATATATGTCCCTATCATATCTCCTCTCTCCCTTCTTTTCTCTAGTGTCGTAAGTTTCAGTTCCTTCAGACGTTCTATATATCCCATCCCTCGTAACTCTGGGACAAGCCTCGTCGCAAACCTCTGAACCTTCTCCAGTTTCCTTATGTGTTTCTTCAGGTGGGGGCTCCATGATGGCGCGGCATACTCTAAGACTGGTCTCACGTAGGCAGTGTAAAGTGCCCTAAAAGCCTCCCCACTTAGGTTTCTGAATGAAGTTCTAATTTTCGCCAGTGTAGAGTACGCTGCTGTCGTTATCCTCTTTATATGTGCCTCAGGAGTTAGATTAGGTGTCACATCCACTCCCAGGTCTCTTTCTCGAATCGTTACAGGTAGGC